CATTACTGCTTCACGCCAGAAATAGGCAGGGTCGTGGTACCTACCCTTGCGGACTCATGATGTTATTCACGTGATGTCTATAGGCCACGGCTTAAAACGATAGGTGACGATTTTAGTCTGCTCATTGACGCCAACAAAAATATTATTTTCCCACAAATTACACGTGTAAACATAGACTCATTCAGTATTTGACATGTGTTATTCAGTTCTTTTAAAACTTTGTAAGTATTTTCCGACATTTCTGCAAATTTCCCTAACGCTATGTAATAACAGGAAAAAATAAACTAGTAATTTTCAAAAATACTAAACAAACGGTAAATTAATCGTACGTTATTAAATAATTGAACATCAACATAAATCTATGGTATCTGTTTTTTTTTTTTTTAAATGGTTCTTTGGCGATTATACATGTGCTCTGAATGTATCTGCAGCCTATTATCTATTTTGGAGTGCATTAAAATAAACTTTGCTCCATATAGGAAGTTAGACATCCTATTTCGGATTCCTTTAACGCAATTACTGGTTAACTCAGCTATACGCTTACGTCACAAAATAACCAAACCTTTCATGCGCCGACATACGAAATGGCATTTCCTCCTAAAATTTTATACGCATCGGATTCGTTCTAAGAAAAAGCCTTCTAACAAGACGCAGTTAGTCATCGAAGGCCAATCATAAGCCAAACTCGCAAGATCGGAATGCAGATGTCTGCTACAACAATAATAATTTGGACGTTAAGTCTATGGATTGGCGTGAGAACCTTTATTTGTTGGACCTTAAAATGTTTTATGAAGTTCCGACAAAGGGTTCGTTAAAAAAAGTGTGTTTAAAATTTGAACAAATTAATTGCAGTGTTGTATATTTATTTTTGATTTTGTATTATAGGTAGAGAAGCAACTTCCGCTAAGTCTACCTTACGGGAAAATGTAATTGTAACTTAAAAAGGAAAACTCTCTCAGTCAGAAAGTATTTTCAATGAAAAATGTAATATTACAAACAAAATAAAACTAGGCAAGAAATAAATGCAGCATCACAGTACTTAACGGCTAAAAAGGCTAGAAATTTTCAATATCTTTTTACCACTACCCGACTACCTGACCACCAAATCGTACAATTATTAATTTATATAAAAACTACATAAGCATGACTATTGTCCAGAATGCTATTGTTCCATATGATTATTTTAAAAATAATTATGATAATATTGTAACGTAAGCTGCTTGAATTTCAGTGTTTGACTAACGCGTTCGGTCAGAATAGCATAAATGTCTTACCCGGCTAAATTCAACAGAAATTACGATTATCAGAATTAAAGTTTTCTCAACACCCTGTCATTAATGGTGATTTCCTCACGTTATTTCTTTGCACCCCAAATTTCTATCTTGAGTACTGGTAATAAGAAGTATTATAACTTTGACGCCATCGTATTGTCCTTTTCTAACACTCATGTGTTCCAATTTGAAGGGTAAAGATAAAAGCGATCCAATTAATACTTCGACTTCAGATCTAGATTTTTTTTTTATTGCATATATGGGTGGATGAGCCATGCCCACCTGGTTTTAAGTGGTTACCGGAGCCCATAGACATTTTTTTTAGTACTATTTTTCCTTATTGGGAAAGGCAAGGGGATCTAAGCCCATACAGCCTTGTCTGTTCTATGCCCATAGACATCTAGAACGTAAATACCGCCACCCACCTTTTTTTTTTATTGCCTTTGTAGGCAGACGAGCATACGGCCCACCTGATGGTGAGTGGTTACCGTCGCCTGAGTTCGTATCAGTTCGTATGAGTTCTAAGATCTCAGTATCAGTATCAGTACAACGGCTGCCCCGCCCTTCAAACCGAAATGCATTACTGCTTCACGGCAGAAATAGGCAGGGTGGTGGTACCTACCCTTGCGGACTCATAAGAGGTCCTACCATCAGTAATTACCTAAATTATAATTTTGCGAGTTTGATTTTTATTACACGATGTTATTCCTTCACCGTCAAGTCAATTGTTAAGTACGTATTTCATTACTAAAATTGGTTTCCGCCTGCGGGATTCCAGATAGCTAGATCCGAACGATGATATCCATTGGGAGTGGCTCATCTCCGAGAACACTAGACTCTATTCACCATCAGCCCACAGATTAAATTGTCGTAGCCTTGTCTACGCGATACGCTAAAAAACGTAGAAACTAATGTCCGATTACTCACAGTAACGAGAAGTGACGAAACCTTTCGACCCGTACCAAATTTGATTACATCCATTGATCGTCGTATCCTATACGGATTTGGGTGACTTCGCAAAACGACTGAACTAAATCGCACTGAGGATGCGGACAACAATCGGCCACGCATCGGGGAATAGCGGATTTAAAGTAAACAATAAAAACGGGGTTTCCTCATAAACGAGTGTGCGAGTAATATTTATTACGTATGAGGATACCGGAATGCATGATTTTAGGTTTTTACTTCATCAGATAGTTCGAGTCATTACTGAATGTTTCTGTTTATTGTGATGATGATTAAATGAAACCACTTCCCAATGAGATCAAACGATGCATTATTAATTCGTGGTAATGCATGATTTACATGTAATTTAATATATGACATTTCTTATTATTATGTCCTAATTAAAATAAAATCATCAAAGTCATCCTGGAATGTTTGAATGACGTATTTATAGAAGGAAAATAACTGTAATGCATTAATGTGTGAAAATGATTTATTCAAAACTAAATTTCGAGCTATAAGTGCAATGAAAAACCCATAGATAAGACAGAAAGTCGTCGTGGCCTAAAGTATAAGACGTCCGGTGTATTCGTATCGGCGATGCAACGGTGTTCGAATCCCGCAGTCAAGTACCAATTTTTTTTTATGAAATACGTACTTAACAAATGCTCACGATTGACTTCCACGGTAAAGGAATAGCATCATGAAATAAAAATCAAACCCACAAAATCATAATTTCCGTCATTACTGTTGGTTGGACGTCTTGTGAGTCCGCACGGGTAGGTGCCACTACCCCGCCTATTTCTGCCGTGAGGCAGTAATGCGTTTCGGTTTGAAGGGTGGGGCAGCCGTTGTACTCTACTGAGACCACTGACCACTGTAACCCCTATTCCAATTCAGCTGAAACTTTAATCTTGTTATTCTAAATGGCAACGACAACCATGTTCTAGTAGTTTTAGGCCCCTTAACTGCTTAAAGTCAAGTTAACTGTGAATCCGCTACCAACTAATCTCTAATAAATAAAATAATTTTCAATAATCCTTTACAAAGTTCCGAGTTCCTCGCCAGTTTAATCTGTACCTGTAAGTCGACTCACTGATAGTAAATGTCAACTATTTGTTACAAATTAAATTGAATTATACATACAATAATTTAACATCTTCTTACCATCTTTTTTTAAGTGAGTACGATATTTCGGGAGTGTTGGAAGCGCTGTGATTACGGGTAGATCCTCTATAGCAGCTATCTATCGATCCACAGACGTACTCATTATGTACACATTGTAAGTTAAATACACATGTATATAGATAGCCGCGAAATTTTCAAGCATACAATAAAATAAATAAGAAAGAAGCGACATCAAATCTGAGTAAAAGACCTTTTATTTAAAGAAGTGATATAAAAACTCTTTGGCTATGTATTTACTGCACAAATAATTAAGTTTTTACGTAGCCTCAAAAAGCAAGCGGACAGTATGCTGTTACGCTGAAATACTGAAACGTTAATATATATTTAATTTAATTTATTAAAGCATACGCGAAAAACAGTATTTGACAATGCCTATTTGAGATTTCCAAAAAGTTGTACAAACATAAAAATAAAAGAAACAAACAGTTTAATATTTCAAGATTTTTATTAATAGAGAAACTGTGACTCTCTTACCAACGGTCCCAGTAAGATTCGAAAATCAAAAAATGTGTAATAATATCGTAGAGGTGAAGATATTTGTGTCGGCCAATCGAATGGGACGATCGGGATAGAGGCCAAGAGGCGGTCGTTCTACGGAATGGAGACTCCCATCACTGAAATTAAAACGACTCCCAAATATGGCGGATTTGAAACTTAAAAATATCTCTATACCTACATGTATTAGAAGCGTCGAATAAGCGCGGCTTCAGTTCAATAGAGCACATGTAATAGAAATTTAATTTTACGATTTTGAAAACTGTGTCGGTTGCAAATGTACTATTTATTATAAATTCCATTTTCAAATATGATTTAAATAAAAATAAAAACCGAAAATTCTCAACATCAGACCCTTTAAGAATTTTTGAGTTATTATTAAATTCCACTTCCATAGTCGTTTTTAATATCAGCTAATATTTTAATCATAAACAAAATTTAAAAAAGCACCCATGTTTTTACAACTTTATTTTGTAAACATCACTTTATACATAATATTTAAAACCTCGGGACACCCCTGACAACAGCAAACAAAACACTATACGTCGCCGTCAACGTATGTTCCCAATTGTTGAAAGCAATCGACCACGACATCATATTACAATAAAAACTGAAGACCGTCCGGGAACAAAGCATTTTCACATACCTTCAGGATCCGGTACTGAAACACGTGTATTTATTTGGACAAGACATTGCGTAAGAGCATATGTTTGGTTTGCGTCCTAATCGCGCGCGACGTCTTATTAGTGACGTAAAGGAGCACGGCGGGCCCTCTAAGCTAAACAATCGGTTTTTTGCACCCTTATCACGGGGGGCCGGCCGGCTACATAAAAGCCGTGGAAATACGTTCAGGACACACATTACACGTAAACCCGCGAACCGAACGTATCGACCTACGGACATCGTGTCCTGAACGAGACACGATCGCGAAATCGTTCGACGTTCAATTAACAGAATACGCACGTGAATTTGAACGTTCCAATTTTGAATATTATTAGTGTAGCGGTGAAAGTAACTAGCTCTTTTATATACTGTGGTATTTAATGAGGTTTTAAACCAAAGTTTTTTTTTTATCTGTGATAAATAAACAATATTAAGAAGATGGATGCTTGTACATGCAGCTGTAGTGAAAATCTCTCAAAAAAAGATTCTACCATATATAGTAAGTTTTCAAATATGCTTGTTTTTCTGTCTAGTTATTTTTTTTTTGTTACCTGTAAATTTTATGAAAAAAAGTTCATACTCTTAAGATGAAACTATCTTGTCTAAGTGAATGATTCATAGAGAAACCGTGAACACAATATTCAGTCACCTGAAACTGTATTACATCATTGTGAACTCATAAATTCACGGAAATAATTGTACAATTTATGTTGTAATAGTACGCATACGTTGATTTTTCCTCAAAACTGTAAACGTACCTATTACAAAAGAAGTCATCAAACTTTTGAAAGCGATGATCTAATTTTAATTGAATCATAGTGATAAAAATTTAAATCTGACTAAATATTTTTTTTGCATTAACAGGTGAATGAACTTCAGTCCATTTAATGTGAAGTGGTTCACAGAGCCCATAGAAAATATGTAAATGTCGACACCCATTTTGAGACACCATCTTGAGACTTGAGGTCGAAGCCTCATTGTATTTTGTATGGCTTGTAATCAATTTAATATTAGTGATAAAATTTCAAACTGAAAAATCAAACATGTAAAAAAAGTTTTTAGACTTTAATATAAATTACGCAAAGAAAATTTTCCTCGGTTCATCTGTATCGTATTAATATACTCAATATTAAAACTGAATAAACGTTCGAACTATTCGAACCGCAACCATGAACGATAGAAACACGGAAAATATATTGCAATCGTCTTAAAACCGCAGCGATCAATAGGGTCACGGTTAAATTACACTTAAAGCCAACCCCGCGAGGGACCGCATAGATTATCCCAACTTTAAATTACCTTATTCACTTTCGCGGCCACAGCTTACGATAGTTTCATTCATAAACATCCGAAACGAAAAACGTTTGAAGGCTTAGTATGAGATTGCATTAGGCTGTGGCGTAAAGGGGGCTAAGGGTAAGCGCGCATTTGCTTTGAGAAATGCCCACTTGATTTATATTGTGGCTCGCACAATAGCATTTTGCGTATTGGTAAAGTGTGACGAGCGCAGTTCAACTCGCGGAAGCTGAACATTTCGAGTTTACGGTAAACTAAAATTACTTGACGAAACTACATAAGTCATAATTCATTTTGTAACCGTCGAATAAGCACACGGAACAAGCAACTCCAATGCAATTTTACGATAAAAAGTGTTAAAAACGAGATAAAAACGCTAATTTTGTGTTCACTTTCAACGCTGACGTTAAATTTTTGCTAATGAAGTGTTGGGGTATTATACAATATCTAATGCATGACGAATCCTTTTGCGGAACTATCACGAATACTTTCTACGGTGTGAGTAATAGACTAAATTCGTATGACGCAGCTTTTATAAGTCTTCAGGGTTACACTGTAGGACAGGTTTTCTTGTGGGCGCTTAGGAATGTTTTATTTAAAACTAAAATATGGTTATTGTTTAGTTTTCGCGAGCTGTGGACATATTATCATTTAAAACTGTTTTTAAACCAGAAAAAAAAAACGCGGAATTAAATCGTAAAAGTATTTTAAATTATGTAATCACGGACCCGCGAATATTCAAATAGTCGGGTGTGTTTTTATAAATTTAGCGTTATTTATTTATGCCTACGTTCATTATCTATTTGCATATATAATAATACCAAAGCGAAATACCATTCACCCATCGTGAGATCTCCAAAACCATTCATCCGATAGGCTTTAAGTTGGGCTTTGATGCCAATTTTGCAATTTAAAAGATTTTGCCTAATTTCCATTGAAACATATTATCTCACTACGTACATAATACCGAAAGTAGCAGCATTTACCCAAATAAAAAAATTATATTGTAGCTGTTACTACAGAACTGGTTGTTGATGAATCAGAGAGCGACACAAGCATCTATCCCGGGAAATGTAAAGTGTTTCATTATTTCTGAATATTAAACTTAGCGTATGTTTAGGGACCAGCCAGACATGTTCATTGTTTTCAAAAGAATACATAATATATTCTAATTTCGTTAATGTAAACAAACAAAACTTTCGCACGCTTCTGCAATAGTTTCAAGTAAACCATTAACAATTATGTATTATTTTATCTAACAAGATTTACTCAAAAATTTATCAGCCGTTACTTGTTACAACAGGACCAAAAATAGAAATCAAACAAAGCACTATACGTCAATTTATATTTTGACATAAACATGTATCCAATTTTTTTGTCCGGCGTTGCACGAAAGTAATGGCTCGCGTTTCCTATAACGAAAAATTCGGAAATTCGTGACTCACACGATGATACACCGCCGGAAAAGCCTCCACTGACATCTAATTTCAGGCGATTTTCATATGATACAAATAGACAATGTTAATTAATGAAAGCCATTATGTCGCTAGACTGCTGGGAAACTCCTGTGTAAGGCGAGCAAAAACGTTAATTGCTTTGACGACTTGATAATACTCTGATGTAACTGCACTTGGCATTGTATTAACCGATGTTTATATACACATTAGTAATGACGTGATGAAAAATTTAGAAGCTCCCTGTCAATTTTAATTATCTCAATAGCATTCTCCAGTGAGTCCACGAGACAGTTTAAAGCATTCTAAACATCGGATATAACATAATGACAGTAATAAATGCGAGATTAAGTCGTAAAATGAGTTTTAATCATAAGTTATCCGCCTAATTACAAACGTTCGCCAAACATTATTAACTAAGACAAAACCTTTATTGAGAAAATTAAATGTAGATTCGTAACAGTCTAATTATCTTGATTACATTCGTATATGAATCAGCTATGATATTAAAACATAATAGTGAATAAAAAGAGACATTTAATTGGTAGTAGGGTGTATTGTGAGCTCGGGTAGGACTACACTTCTGTTTATTTCTATGCGAATCAATCAATCATTCTGATTTGAAGCATAGAACAATTGATTTAGAATACAAATTGATATTCGACTTCCTATATCAGGGTGGGAATCAACTGTCACGCCCTGACGTCAATGGGATTCTTTTAACCACGTAACCCTCGGTGGCTCCACAGCTTCCCCTACATGTCTGGTGATATAAAAATATTAATAATAACAGCTTATGTCGACCGCAACTTTGTTCACTTAGAAACAACCCGGGAAGTATATTATTAATCACAAACATAATAATAGCATGTTGACACTATCACTAAGCGAGTACAATATTCTGTCTTGTTAGTCGTTGAACAAAAACGTGTCAAAGTAAACATGACGCTCGGTTCGACCACAGACCACATGCTACATGAATCCCATACGAAATCAACTAAAAGTTTACAGTGCGCTAAATATCGTATTAGAATTTTATTATCCTGTGACGTGGGAGCATATCGGATCCTTTAGATTCTGAATACAAATTTAGTTTTGCATTCGAAATGCGGCCGATCTGTACATTAATGTTTGAACAGGTCTTTTTTTTGGCCGCATTGTTAACTTTGTTTCACATTTCACGAGCCTCCTTTCCCATACTCGTACTTTTAAGTCAACTTTAAAAGTTTGCTGTTATATTTAGTCCTTTAATATTTTTTTATGTTATTAAAAAATAAAGTTCGTGAACAAACGAAATGTCACGGTGTCAAAAAGAAAATGAAAGTTGTTTATAATTTAAGCAAACGATAAATCTAGGGGACATTTGCATAAGCCAATATTTTTGCTTGTTCATTTTTCTGTTTAATTAAAACTGATACAGAGACACGTCATCGCACGTGGGTCGTTATTTCGTAAAAAAAAATATATACATATATCTGAGATTCGGGGCAAACTAACGCACAGCTTTTACTTGATATCCTTCAACGAGAGAAAGGGAATAGATAAATCGTATACTTTATCTCAAAACAATGCTTTATTGCCGCCCACTATCAACTAATATTTTTGATATCGACGATTGATTAATCACGTCACGTTTACACGACACAGAATGTGTCCCGACAAAAAAAGTTGTCAATGGAAATCTAGTGAGTAGATCATTAAATTCCGCGAGGAGTGAGTAGTGATCTGACAAGACACGTGGTCACAAGTATAAGCGTAATCAGTGCGCGGGCGCGACTCACGCCCGATAAAACTCACTTTAGGATAGACTCGACATCGATGATTCAGCGTTCAAGTCTAAACGAATCACTTGCACAAGTCAGAGAAACGGACGTCCGTGGAGAAGACTGACTTAATTAATTTACGAATATTTTTTACGTCATATTAAGTATCGTTTTTTTTTATAAAATAAATTCAGATATAAAATGCTATTGCTGATAGTAAGTTCTATTCCTGATAATATAAATTCTAAAATAATGTATTGTTTTTACGGTAACGTCGTATTTATGTACACTTTTGTGACCAAAACACACCTCAATACATATTAAGTTACAAATGTATCCGTTAGTTTAGATCTACCGGTGGTAGGACCTCTTGTGAGTCCGCACGGGTAAGTACCACCACCCTGCCTATTTCTGCCGTGAAGCAGTAATGCGTTTCGGTTTGAAGGGCGCGGCAGCCGTTGTAACTATACTGTGACCTTAGAACTTACATCTCAAGGAGGGTGGCGCATTTACGTTGTAAATGTCAATGGGCTCCAGTAACCACTTAACACCAGGTGGGCTGTGAGCTCGTTCACCCGCTTAAGCAATATGAAATTTCGGTAGTACGTCATACAAGAAAACACGACATGAAAATATTTAGTGTCGAGGAAGTCTCCATAAGGGTCGTAGTTCGTTTTCCGGCGGCGCGGGTAAGGGTTTTCGCGTAATGTTTGACCGGCTATTTCATGTACGGTGGGCACCGAAATGTGCCCATTCAACGAGCGGAGGCTGCTCGCGCGCCGGTCTCGCACATTCGTTCCCCTCGCCACGACGGTGACACACGTACAACAAACACGACTTATTAAATCGAGAGTGCAAATCGACATCACTAGTGCTTCCAATATTTGATTTCGAATTGTGTAAAAAAACAGTGAAAAACGAACGGTTCGCGTGTGCTTTCGGTCAGTGTTCCCTCTGCTTCGTTACATTGAACGTTAAAAATTCGCCGGTCGGGATATTTTTGTTCGAATGAACATGGACTTGCACGAAGGCGCTACATCAATGCGTTGTTCATGGATGTCTTTTTAACTGGTGTGTGTTTCGTTTTTAATATAGTGATGAAAGCGTCCAGGTAAATTCATGAAATAATCGTTCCCATCGAAGATCCCATTCATGGATCTTGTGTAAACAATATTGGTTTTTAGTGCGGGTATCTGAGGTTCTGTTCGGAAATTTATTAAAAAAAATTTTTTTTCTGTCATATACTGATAACTAATCTTACCCGCGTTTTATAAGAATATCAGAAGCACGAGAGTTATGTCAAGAAAATTGACGTTGCAAAAATGTCAAATGACAGTCACTTTCACGATAAGTCGATTTTTATGTAATACATAAAAATCTAACAAGAAGAAAGAATGCTTCACGGAAATTATCCGCATTATTAGAACAAAATAAATGATAGTGTCAACATTACTGCAGGTCTTATTGTAGTCAATTAAATTCGACAAAAAAAACATGCAACTAGTCGAATACGGAAAATAAAACTCTGTTAAAGAAATCTGTAATTATCTATCTAAATTCAATATGATAATTTTTTGTGTTTTTTTTAAATATTTGTTTCTATTAACGGTCTATCTGTCAACATATAATAAATCTAACCATCAACAGCAACATTCGATTCACTGGAATTTTTGCGGCACTCTAAGAGGACATATTAAATTACTACGGATCCAGCGATTTCAAATTCGGAACACAAACGAATCGATGTGTGTTAAGAAATCGATATTAGATCCTTTTTGGTATTGCACCGGGTTACGTTCGTGTCAAAATGAAAAACATTTTGCCGTCGGCCCTCGATCAATAGGAATTTTCTCTGTAACTCCTCTTTGTCACGCGATATGGTTTGGTTAGCCGAAGAAAGGACAGCTTTACTTATTTGGTCAACTAAATTTATTGTTACGTGGATTGTTGATATCATATTTGATTGGCAACCAATGACTGAATCATCGAAAGATTGTATTTCTATTTTATTTTTTTATAAAATATATTAACATAGGACATATAACTTTGATGGCACAAAACGCATTTACTATAAAAATTGATCCGTATATTCATTACATTTATAAAAATTTTCGCACTATATTTTAATAATATTTTTGCAAAATAAAATCAACAAATAAAAAAATTAAATAATCAAAATTTCTAAAATTAAACGTTTTTATTCGATAACGAACAATTAATCGATTATATCGATTATGTAAGTGTTTGGGGAAACCCCGATGATAGAAAAATCACAAACGCGAGCCGCATTTCGCGGTAACAATTATTTATGAGCATTGTTTGCTTTCAGCAAAACGCGACCTGTATAATGTCCATTGACGCAACTCATCACCTATAATGGAAACAAACCAAATCTTTTTTAAGGAAAACCTTCCCAAAACAGTGAACATGTGTGCACTTCCTTTTGCTTCCGCGATTTCAGCGTTGGCAACGTTTCACTAATTTCGAAGTTTTTTGAAAATTTCTGCACGCTGTTTCCGAAGTTATAACATAAACATGAAGAGTTGTATTAAAAGATTACCGATGGCCGTAAATACTAGAAATTTCAGGCACAACACATCACACCGTAGTTTCTATTGAATATAAATAAAGCATAATATACACTTCAAACCTTGATGACCCGTGTGAACTTATAACACACTCCACCGGCACTTCAGTTTTTTTCTTACAACTTTTTTTTCATTTTGTTGTATTAAAAAAAAATTTTGTTAACGAAGCGGAGCTATTTCTTTTGAGAAAATGAAGTAACTTTAATTAAGCCACAGTAAGCAAGTGAAGTGAATGTCTGAACGAAAATATCTACCCTATAATGACGCAATACAAAAGCGTGAATATAAATATTTAAAAAAAAAACATTGAAATTGGTCGAGACTGATTTTTTATTTTTAATGGTATTATTAAATTTCAATAAAATATAATGTTTTTTATCCGAATCAACACATAATTATTAATTACACAATAGTTATGAAATCGTTACCATACGTCATTTGTAATGGTAGGGCGTGTTCTAAGTGCGCGCGGGTAGTTACCGTCGACTGCCCTATTAAAAGACAGCCATTATTCTAAAACTATTTATAAATCGGCTTTTCAAGGTGGGCCCATTACAAATGCATATCATAACCTAGTATCGTCTATATACTCTATATCATCAATAAAAACATCATTTAGCGCTTAAGCTAGTAGTCGTAGAATCTTATCTAAAACTCGCAAACCTCGTAAGAAATTAACATAGAAATCGTATCTTAATAACCAAGTAAATATATCGAAGATTGATTCTGCTACCATCCGCTCTCGAAGTGCAAATCGTTCTTATACACAAACACATGAATAAATAACAATAAAAGTGCAATGGCGAAACTTTCCACGTTTTAGCACTTGAACCGGACAAAAGGAGCTTTAACAGTTGACGGAGCTTCTCTGCTTTTAAAAGTTCGAAAACGACTCGCACAACACTATTGCAGGGCCGGGTCGGGACATAAAATATGTTTTATGGCGTCGGCGCAAAACATCAGAAACCTTCAATAACTGTCAAAGGTTAAATCGTACCGGAGACATAATATAAGTTTTTTGCGCAATGACAATAACTAAGGGCGTGACGCTTTCGTATTTTGTACCGCGACTCGGGAACTATTAGCGTCCTATTACAAAACCTTATCACTCTAATGCCCGTATTATATGACATGAATATTTTATAGCATATTCTAAAATTATCATAATAAATTTATATTGAAGAAATTGAAATCCATCAAATTCGATGATTGCGTAAAGTTATGTCACATTTATTACACAATATTTTAGAATACGTAGCCCAGCTCCGTACAGACGGGTACGGTTGAAATTAACTTTAAAAATATCACGTACTTGTGTTGTGCATCCTAGGACTGAGTAATGGCTGAGAAAGTGGCCCGAGATGTAGTTTCACGATAACCAAGGCCTTATTATTTTTTATGCCTCTTCGGAAACTACAAAGACACGGGCCAGTTGCTTCTGTGCCAGACTCGATGCGACCCATTTACTATGACCAGTTAACCAGCATCAGACTTTATTTTGCAATCGAAAACAAGATTTGCATTTTATTGCCAGAGCTTCAAGGAATAGTTTGGGAAAATCGTTTAAACGATCTATACTTTACCTCTTATCTCTCGGTTAGTTAAGTGATCATATACTTTCTTCCATAAAGATAACGTAATCGTTGATGATAATACGACACGATAATAACGATAATACGAAATTGCAATCAGTCGGGTATGAAATGTGACTGTGATCACATGTATTAATAAAACAACCATTTCTTCTTTCAGGTTTTCCTAAAAAGCTTTTGGTAGCTACAGCCTTAGTGGTGATGATAGCAATGTGTCTAACGCCGGCCGAGGCACGCACAGTGGAGCACAAGATCCGCCACGAGAGGCGGCACGAAGGCCTAGCACAGCCCACCAAAGAGATCTCCAGGCCCAGAACGGCCGAGCCTCGGCTGGACAAAAGACGGCCACACNAACCATTTCTTCTTTCAGGTTTTCCTAAAAAGCTTTTGGTAGCTACAGCCTTAGTGGTGATGATAGCAATGTGTCTAACGCCGGCCGAGGCACGCACAGTGGAGCACAAGATCCGCCACGAGAGGCGGCACGAAGGCCTAGCACAGCCCACCAAAGAGATCTCCAGGCCCAGAACGGCCGAGCCTCGGCTGGACAAAAGACGGCCACACAGAAAAATGACACTGACCAAAGACTCGCCTGCGTTTGTTAGACAGAGAAGTGCATTAGCCGACCGCTTCAAAAACGCAATGACTAAAATTAAGAAGAAATTAAAGAACACAAGGACTTACTTCAACGAGGAACGGAGGGTGCTGAACGAGACCAGGGACTACAGGGAAGGGATGCCGTCCTGGTTGCCGGCGATCAACTTTGTCGACATACATTTTCACAACTACCGGAATCCACGCAGGACTAGTGCTTCGATATCAGAACGAAAAGTGAGTAAGCTTTTATTTCTCAATAAAAAATATTTATTATGTCGGCTATCGTGGTATAGACACGTGATGCGTAGAGAGGAGATGTATTGAAATGGTAGTGCAAGGTAGAGGGGAAAGAGGTCGACCAAAGAAGACATGGAGTGGTGTGAATGACGATATGAGAGAGAGAGAGAGAGTGTTGAGATGACGGCTGATAGAAAAGAATGGAATAGAAAAATTCGCTGTGCCGACCCCACTTAGTGGGATAAGGTGGAGACAAAAAAGAGAAAAACTGTTTATTATCTCACAAGAAATTTGTTTCGTTTCCAAATTCATATGCGATATAGCTTTGACATGAATTAGTTTAGGCGCATCAATTTTCCGCAAAATTCTAATAACAGCCATTCCCGTTCGTAGATAAATAAGATAGTCCGTTCGAATTTCACGGCTAACAAGTCACGGCAGGTCTAAACCAGCCAAACTGATCTAAATAGTTTTAGTATTATCAAGCAAACAAAAAACGTGGCGTAATAAGTTCATCTCATGATCACGCAAGTCGTTTGAGCTTTTGATGTGAATTTCAAAACAACTGACAGTGTAATTACTGCGGTTGATCACTCCACGTCTCGAGGGTGTGGTAGACCCATCCCATGTTTCTTTTGTCCGTTCACTACTTTTACAATATTATTTATTCATTTTCGCTTTACTGGCTCATATTAGTTGCGGTATATTAGCGAGATCCTGAGACTTCAACAGCGCGGCTTAAATGAGTTTCGCTAAGGCCAAATTATATGTCGCCGGCATATCATCAAGCCGATACCTCTTTTATTTACTTCACATTGCATTTAAGAGCTATTTAGATGGCTATTTCATTAATTTGAACACCGCACAGGTCTGAAAATGGATGCGGTTTCAATATGAGCTCCATTACGCCCCTATAACCGCGATCGCTTCATTTATCTGAAGGTTAACGAGGAATGAATTATGAAACAGTAAATAAAATGTACAAACGAAAACAAGGGCAGAATAACTGGGCTCTGTTAACTTTGTTTTCATTACACTTCGATTGTTTAGTTTAGAAAATCATCACAGCGCCGAGCCGAGATAAAATTATCGCGCTTCTTCTCTTTTGTTAATTTAGAAAAGTTAACCGCCCACCTTTATTGACCGACACAAGATGAACTCTTATCAACAATCCTTTCGCATTTTAGTAAAAAGAATCGCTTTAAGGTAACGAGTTCATACATGACTGGTGCTGTTTAAATCAAAGGATTATGGTTAGTCTTTATGGGAACAGAGCAACTCCAATGAGCCGGTAAAACGCTTCGAGGAAATTTGCATAGATTGACACCACGCGATTTCGCCTCACACGCGATATTGAAACGTACCATTTAATGTTATAGATTAATACTCGCAAGCCTCATAACGATTATGTTAATAATCGTATTCGTTCTCCGCGCGCTGAGCTAGTTCACCGAGTAAAATATTGAAAACACACAGCCGATATTTAAAGTTCGGCGTGTAAGCTCTTTTTATTGTTTACCGAACACACATCTGGTCATCGTGACTTTCTATTATGTATTCATATTGGTCGCCCACTAATTAGTACACAAAAGTTAATGCGCCACGAGACAATGAGAGTGTGAGTATTCGAAACGTCAATATCCCTACACACTAGGGTGACACTTCGTGAGTGCGGGCCACAGAAAACACGATCTCTAAACATGAGCAACGCGGACAGCGCAGCCTTCGAAGCTCTGAATATTGAATACATCTAGCGTATGGCTCATCAGTTCGTCAATGTACGGCCACTTAACGAATTCAAATATTTAAACATTGGGCAAAGGAAAGCGTTAGAATTCAAGTGATCTCGGCTTCGGTCCGGCTTTAGTTGACACACGAACGATTTAAAAATTAAATACTGTTCAAATGAGATGTTAAAATAAAGGGCTTGACGAAAGCTTATTGTGGATAAACTTCTTAAAGTTTTTTTATTACGAGAATAATTATATATACAGTTACACATTTAAGTTTAAATTGGTTAATTTCACAGATACTATTAGCCAATAGGTGTTAGTCAATGGATTGGATTTAATAAATGTATTATGCAGTGCACATTTCAGTGAGTTTCGAATAAAGGGCATAAATTCCACAAGTCCGACGGCGGCACGCTTTCACGGCGACACGCGTATGTCGCTTCGACCGTTTGTTTGTTCAGTATTTACGATTTGACAAAACAACACGAAATGTTTAAAAACACAGTATTTGCTGAAGTGAGACGAATGTGGATTTATGATTCCGCGGCTGTGCGTTTGTCTGCGACACGTCCGTCGGTTAGACTCGCCTCTTTAGCTCGGAACTACGACTTATTGTCCGGTCTTCGGACTTGAATACACGACCACATTCGCCAGCTAGCCAGCGCTTTATCAACGCGACTATACCACGACAATGAACGGGAAACTATACGTGCCAAGCTGTTTTAAGTACCGTGAAAACTTAGCGATTATTTTGTTTATCGTAAACACGCCTATGAAAGTTGGATTATTTTTTTTCCTTGTAAATACTATTTTAGTTTAACTAAACCTAGGATATCGAAATTTTATTAAATTCCCGATATCGGAGTGTAGTTTGTAATCAAAATTTTCCCGTAAACACAATTAAACGGTATCAAGTTCAATAACAAACAGCTGGCGGGGTGAATCACTTACATTCATTAATGGGAAGGAAGTGACCGATGACACAGTTCGACGGAGATCGATTCCAGTTCGAGGATAATTCCGGGAACGGTTCGCGGACGAGACGTATTCATTCATTAACCGCTTTAATAATCGCTCATTAACTGCCCGTTATATTGGTTACTCACAGTCATTGTTAGACACGTCATAAAGTGAGCAGAAATCCACGTATTAATTGGAGCGAATTAAATTTAATTTGCATTTATTTGTTTTATGAAGCTCGCATAGTCATAGGAAACGTCGACGCTTAGTACAGAAATAATTATTTATCAGACAATAATACGAGTTATCGCTCGAGTTGCGAGGTGAACAAGTCGTCTTGATTCTGCCTACCTTTATACCTACGAGATAAAACTTTGTGTATTTTAAACAAATTTATTGAACTGTATAAATAGTTTTCATAGGAAATCGTCCTATTTTTACACATTAAGTGTACGAAACATCAGTACTATTAAATTAAAAAAAAAAAACATTGGCCTCAAAACATGAAATGATCAATCTATGTCAAATAAAATAAAAATAAAAATTAATATTACACGAAGACAGCTGCGGAATTCAAAAACGAAAAAGCGAATGTTCATTGTCTGATGATTTATTGAATGCAAAAATCTTTCACAATTTAAACAACGGACAAAAAGATAAACAAATTTTCCTTTTAGTTTTAGATAGCTTCATTTTGTTTAGTTTCTTTTTTTTAAAGATATTTATTGTGATTGAAGATTCTTTTACGGGTAAATCCTGCGTTTATTTTTTGTGTTTCACAACTTCAAATGTTTCGATTAATTTTCATTTTCATGGTGGCAAATCATCATGTTTACGCCTTAGTCTCAATCTCCGCGACGAATGCTTTTATTCAATAGCTTTGATGAACGGAATGTAAATTTCGAAGCGCTAGTGTGAACAATATAATTGCGTCGATCACAAACGCGTAACCTCGACACGAATCCGGTCCCAATAAACTGCACATACTATATTTATAATAAAATGACGCATAGCTTTAATCTCCTACATTAACTTAACAATCACAAAAGTGTTCTCGAATTAATTGTTCGGCGAATCACACACAAAAAAGGTTTTCTGCCATTAAAACTATTCATCGAATCTTGAAATTGGAAACGAAACTTCTTAACTTTAAAATCTTCTTCTGCAATCTTAAATGTTCCCACGAACCAAACATTTGTAGCATGCGTTGTATTTTTCGAACAATCTATTTCATTAATAATTATTTTTTATCAATGCATGCAGTCGGTACCTGTAATTGTGTTAGCATTTAGTGTGAAATCAATGTATGTGATACCTGTAATGTTCTGTGCTAATGTATAACATGTTGGTACCCAATAAATAAAATAAAAATAAATAAAATAATGGTAGACTCGCAATTTTTCATTTATTATACGTAGATATCTAACGGACGTTTTCATTGTTTCAGTTTACATATCTGATGCCGAAGCTGTACAAGTCTCTAGTGGAGTTCCAAAGCATCTTCAAACACCTGAGCCAGGTCGAGGTTAATTTCGTGGACGACCCGTTCTACGTCTACAACAAAACACGTCAGGATCTCTTAACGAAGACCCTCAACAGGCTCGAGAGCACAATATTGGAGATCAGAGAGAACATGATGAGGACCCGCGTGCCGGTACCGAATGTGGGACCAAACAAGAACATCGACATGCTGAGCTTAAAAGTCGACGCGCCGCAGTGTCTCAAACAGGATTACATAGCGTTTAGGGCATACGGTAACTTGCTTAACAACTGGTATCTAGAATTCAGATGTCCGTTTGGCAAAAAGGTGATAAACGACAAAATGCAATGCACCGCCTACGAGGCCAAACTAAAGGAGAAGAAAGAATCGAGGATGTCGAAAGCGAAGAAAACGCCCGCCAGTTGATCGAATCATAGGATATTATTTATTGAATGATATTTGTCCCTTTTGTACTTATTTATTATTGTTACTGTTATACGTATGCTCTCTACGCGCGAGTGATTGTTTCAAGTGCTTGACGAAACAACGTTTTGTTGATTAAGTATTGGGTACTTTCTCTGTGATATTTAGTATTCTGTAGATAGTGATTGATTAATTTATTGTTTTTTTTTTAATAGTTTTAAGCCTTCCTGTTCAGTTCCTTTGTACTTAACTATTCTTTTGACTATATTGTCTACATAGTAGCTTTTTGTTAATCTTAATTTATTCGTGACTTTGACTTTCGTTATTAATTTATGGATATATTATTTTTATTATTTTTTTGAATTCTTTCTACTCTTGACAGTGTTTGAAACTGATTTATTTTCTATGCGGATCGATTAACTTTCGTATTAATCGCTTTCAACTTTTTAGTTTTTAATCTCATAGTATTATTAGTTGGCACTGTTGGTGCCACAATTTTAGCCAAGAAAGACTTTTAGTACTTACGTGTTAATCTTATTTATGTATGTAATTGTTAATTTATAAGCGTGTTTATAATGTGCCGATAGATTTAAATGAATGAACTGATACCGTAATGTGAATATTAAATATATACGTATATATGTATATGTTTATTTTTTTAAATTAAAAAGTATTCATAATTTTTNGGCACTGTTGGTGCCACAATTTTAGCCAAGAAAGACTTTTAGTACTTACGTGTTAATCTTATTTATGTATGTAATTGTTAATTTATAAGCGTGTTTATAATGTGCCGATAGATTTAAATGAATGAACTGATACCGTAATGTGAATATTAAATATATACGTATATATGTATATGTTTATTTTTTTAAATTAAAAAGTATTCATAATTTTTGTAATGAAAATTTTTGATACAACCGAACTGTATTTAATCAAAATGAAAGAATAAAATTGATTCAATAATGATGGTATTTTGCGTATTTTTCTTTTCCTATTATAAAACTCCCAGATTTAATCTTCTAAGTGGGTACAATAAAATTAGACTGAATGTGAATGTTTTTCAAAAAGTTACATAAAATATTGTTTGTTGCGAACATCTTTGAAATTCACATTATTCACGTTGATGATTGGTAGAGCGATCCTGTATGCTGACGAACACTATATAATTGGTTAAAATTCATTTTTTCTGTACAAACTCAACTTCTCAGAAATGAATATTCAATAAAAACCTACCTTTATCCAATTTATTGAAATCAGTGCGTTTCAGTCACTAAGCGCGATCAATACTCTTAAAACAATGTTCAATCTTCAAATCATCTGAAATAACAGTAAAGGTTGAAACAACAATGTATTGAAAAATAACAGTAGGCAGGTCCGCCGAAAATTGTGTTACTTCTCCACTTTTCTACAATGTCATGTAAACAAACGCCGTATGGAACTTATCGGTTTTGTTTACACAATTGTCTATTTTTACAGTCATCCATCAAACGAAATCGAATTATGATCACTTTAGTTTCACGGTCTCGCAAGAGCTTAGAATTGGATTATAAAAACAGTTGGTTTAAGCTTCAAATCTGTGATTGGAGCGCCATCTGTGTAGTAAACCGAAACATTCAATTCGAAATCAGCTTTGCTATTGGACAATAGATGTCGCTTAATGTACAATTTCATTTTCGGGATGATAAAATCTTTTGGTTTTAGTTAAGTACCTTTTACATAGATGGCGCTGTATTTTTCTTTAAACGGAACTTACTTTTCTAACGATAGAGTACGTTACCGTCACTACGTTAATACAAGACATTAGTTTAAAAAGGTTTTTCGTCGCCCTTTTCGCTACACAACATGATAGCGTTTCCAAACTGGCCTAAATAGCTATTTAAAAAAAAAAAAGATGTGATGTCGTGGGACACCAGGTAGGAACGAAGTTCCTTCGGCTAATGTAAAATCGACACAATTTGCAAAAAAAAATCGTGCTTAATTTTATGTAGGTTTTCTTGATTTTTCTCTTAAATTTTGCTGATTAGTTTTTATTTAAGTACAGGAAAGTATTTAGGAAAATCAGTATTTTAGGAAATAAGAAATTACGTAAAATAAAATAAAATCATAATTCAAATTATCAATTAAAATAACAAAATATGTCTGTTTATTTTTGTTTGACAACATAAAATTACATAGAAATAGAAATAATTACAAAATAGAGAGAGAAGGGATGAGAGAACGAAAAGAAAGAAGGAGAAAGACTCGCTTGTGTATACGACTGTCGCGCCTGCGCACGTCTTATTTAACGGTTTTATTCCACGGACTTTTTCTTACGGTTTTACTATCACATTTTTTTCAGTTCGGTCGCGCAGCTAAATCCATATATCCCCCAAGCCTGCCGTAAGGAACTTCGTTCCAAAAACTACAGCAACCAAAAGAATAGCAATTTATATTTGCTTCTTTTTATTTTTTAAGCGCAAGCCACATTCAGAGTCGGCGGTTGCTACTTGGCCCAGGGCCGTTGAGGACATCCATGAGCGACTGTAACAACTTTACCATTATGTGGACCGTATGCTCCTTCATCTGCAAAGACAATAAAAAAAATGGTTGAGTTCCCAAAAACAACGGAGCTAATTTTTTTCCTGCCTATTAACTGATAGCCTAAGGGTTAAATCCCAGCTACGCGCGAACAGCATTTTGAACTGAGTAGATATAACTGAGTTTCTGGTGTCAAATATTACCTCTGTGGTCCTCTTGACCGGGGCCAAGTAGTAACCAGTGCCCATAAACATAAGGTGTAAGCCGCAACCCACCATGAGCCATAGGATCAAAGTTTCAAAGTTGTACTGCGTGAAACGCGAATGGCTTTACCGGTCATTGTTCTCGTCCAACCCGTCGCTTGCGACGAAGGGCACGGCGAGTAAATTAACATACAGACACAGCCCACTTGAGTTTCTCCTCGGATCTTCTCAGTGGGTCGCGTTTCCGATCCGGTGGTAGATTCTGCGAAGCACGACTCTTGCTAGGGTTCGTGTTAGCAACACTCCCAGTTTGAGCCTCGTGAGCTCACCTACACATCAAGGAGAAGCTGAAATAGCCTCTCAAGCAAGCCTCTCAGCATAGGTAGGAAAAAAAGAAAAAAAAGCACATAGGCTACCTATACTCGTATATAGTAGGCTATACTTTAAGCATATAACATAGTACGATAAACATACAATAGATGGCGCGCGTTTATTGTCCTTGATGTTTTTCGTATTACTAGTGGTCCCGCAGAAGTCGAAATTCGACTATAATTAATTGAAATTATAAGTTTGAACATTATTAAAGGTTCTATTGTCAAAGACTATTATACTTCTATAATAACAGATTTCGCCAAGACTGCACTATAGACAAATAATATTAAAGATAAACAATATTATCTTAATCTCAATTTGACCACAGACTAAACAATAACAAAAGTCTGACAATAAACAAAGAGTATATATATGTGTGTGTGTGTCAAATACATGGTAGTGTGTGTAATGTTTTTTTTATTAATTTAATGTGTTATTAATGCATAATTACAAAAAAATATTTGCATTCTGCACTCCTTCTCTATATTCTCTATAAGTGTAGGAAATTTTATGATCCTCCGTCCGCGGAATTTTCGTAAAAAGGGGTACAAAGTTTTTGCTTCAAGTGTTAATGTATAGATAGATCAACGATGGTCAAATAGGAAGGCAAACGAGTTTCACTAATTACTAAAAGTACAAGTGATTAGTAGCTAACAAAACTAATATTTAACTAGGCTCACTGATCCTTATTAGTAAAAGTGAGGTGCCTGTAAATTCACGCTTGGGCAGTCGGCTTCCTGTACTATGTGATGTTGCAAGCATCAATTTACGAAAACGTTGTACCAATGTGTAATTAAATTTATTGTTTGTTTAATTATAGATGATTTTTTTTAACAAAACTAAACACTGCAAAAACAATACAATCACGAACCTGAATTGAAAATTGTCACATAAAATTCGAACATTAAAGGTCAGGATATTTAGACGTTATTTTAAATCCAAATATTATCCAATATCCAAATAAGGCAAAATCAAGACTGAATTTCATTTGATTTTAAACATAAAAATATTACCTACGAATTACTAAATTTAGCACTTAAGTGTGTGGACTAGCACACAACCTCTCCTCAGATGTTAAGAGCACACTAAGCACGGTGAAGGAATAATATCGTGTAATAAAAATGAAACCCGCAAAATTATAATTTGCGTAATTACTGGTGGTAGGACCTCTTGTGAGCCCGCGCGGTTGTGTACCACCACCCTGCCTATTTCTGCCATGAAGCAGTAATGCGTTTCGGTTTGAAGGGTGGGGCAACCGTTGTAACTTTACTGAGACCTTAGAACTTATATTTCAAGGTGGGTAGCGCATTTACTTTGTGGATGTCTATGGGCTCCAGTAACCACTTAACACCAGAAGGGCCCTAAGCTCGTCCACACATCTAAGCAATAAAAAAAAATGTATTACAGGACTTTTTCCTTCATCGTGGATGCCATGCATACATTTTACGTACGTATTTCCTTTACGTGGTCTAGAGAACATAACTTCGTTTATTATGGTTTGTAACACCGTCATAATATGTGAAGCAACAAATTTGTCTGCACGCAAGCTTTATTAAATTATTATTTTTTAATGAAATGATCACTCAGTTATGCGTGAAAATCGGGTTAATGGCGTTGTTTATAGAATATTCGGTCGCGCTCTGTTTATTCGATAAAACACCTTCATACAATCCGATTTAGTACCTTGAGTGAATGCTAGAAGTGAGAAAAAAAAATTTATATCCACGCTGGACCAAGCGTACTGTATTTTTGAAGGCGAAGAGCAACAATTTTGTTCCACGATCAATTGTATTTTACGACCTTCACAAAGGGAGGCCGCAAAGTTTTTTTCCAAGATTGGGGTACGATTAATCTCCATCTGCTGCGATTGGTCTCGAGGGCATCGTGTAGCTTGATGTCTAGAAAAGACCGAATTTGGTCCGACCATTTCGTGGGACTGCGTCCTCTGGGACGTTTGCTCTCTACCTTGCCCGCCACCATCAACTGCTCAAGATTGTGACCCTCCTTTCGAGAAATGTGTCCAAAGAACTCCAATACGAATGCATATTGTGGTGAATCTTATGTCAGAGAGTTTTAACATTAAGCTCTTTTAGTATTGACACATTGGTTTGAAAGGCAGTCCATGGACTTTCTGAGTCTTAGTCACTTAATATTTGAGATAGATGCGCAACTCTTATTTTCATTTAGTGCTTTAGTTGCTGTAGTCCAGCAGGCGTCGCTGAGGTCGATTATTAGTCTCCCTACCCTCCACCAGGTGGCTTTTTTTAATAATTTTAATATTTTTTTAACTCTCTTTATGAAAAAATCTTATCGCTTAGGTCTTAGTTTTACTGAGTAATAAATACGCTTCCAAGCCGCGAGTAGTTGAAATAGCCCTAAGGCTAACAGAGACTAGGTAGGGAAAAATAAATCGCTTGTGATGCCGCACCTTTGAAATTCAATAAATCCTCCTTGAAACCGTAGGAATCTTCAAAATTCATTTGTTAAAATTTCGAACTCACACATTAGGCACAAGTGAATAAAATACGTTGGATATAGCTTCTCGGGCTTATTCCACAGAAGTCCTATGAAGTCTCAGCATATTCCCACCATTTTACTGGAACATTATTTCATATGGTTTCATTCAAGAATCAACTATATCATTCAATCAATCGGCTATAAAAACAAAATAACTTTTTATATCGTTTATATTAAAAACAAATAAACCAAAATATGTATACCGAAATTTGATTACGGAAATTGCGTTTTTGAATTCGTTAATTCGATATTGTTAATTTCATTCCATTTCAGCCTCTTTTCTTTTGTCGGTTTAAGCTCATAGAAAAGAAATACGAACATAGTTCAGCGTCATTAACTGCTATATGTATTGTGTGAAAAAATGAAACTAAGTCGCTGGACGTAGCTTCTCGGGTTCTTCCAAAAAGCCCAGCTAGAACCCAGTGAATTCCGCTCTTTTACTAGAGCATTATTTCATTTTCCACTATATACTAAGTTAAGTAATTTATTACAATTACAAAAAAAGAACAACAAATTAATTCAATACATTTTAATGTTTATATATAAAATGTGCATGTAAACAATAGTTCAAGATTTAATAATATCGAGATTAGTGCATAAAAATGACGTTGCAAGAAGCCACAGGAAGAAGTTATACTTAAAAAAAAGATGTAAAATATATTTTTCATTGATTGTCCTACATACCCGTCTTGACTTTGAATGTGTGTATTGAGTCTCTGCCTCAATAGAACCACATTCGAACACTTTAGCTGAAATATGTTTTTTTCCTGAGAACCACACATACCGAAGAACATTTAATACAATACTGGAAATAATATAGTTTATTCACGAATAATTTCATGAAACAACTAAAAATACACTGAGCATCTAAATAGACAATGCACAATGTAGCAACAACGTCGGGTCACGAACTTTGAAAGCGGTTACATCTTTCTTAAGCGAATCAATTCAAGCCTGTACCAATACAGAGAAATCAATTAATATTACACATAAAAAATAAAAATAAAAACGTAAATTCAAACATATTATCTACACGAATCGTCGATATTTCGTTTGTAATTCACAATCGCAGAACGCAATAGCGATTACATGCGGTGTGGATGGACACGAAACTTGTGAACGTAGAAAGTGTATTTGATCGGGCTTTAGTTGTAAACTGCAGTCTGCATCGGGCGGACGCACGCAACTTAACTTCGCTGTCGCTCGTGGAATAAATAAAACAATTACTTTTTTTTTTTTAATATAGTGAAATAAAATATAGACCATGGATGTGCGTGCGAGGATCATAGCAACTATTCTATTGATTTCTGTCGTCACGGCCGTTCCTGCGGGCGACAGCAGGAGAACTGATAAAAATGGTACGTTGATCTTTATTACTTTTTTTTTTCACAAAAAAAACAATAATTAAAAAAATATTTTTAGAATTTTGAAATGTAGAACAAAATCGAGCGTTGCGAAACTACTTCTAAATATTTTCGCGCCATTTTGCGTTCTAAATTATTTAGGTCTTCATTTAACTAACATCTGTTTATTTTTTTAGATTAATATTGGTTGACAGACAGACAGATTGACAGATGATATTTTTTTTTTAATTTTTGTTATCACATTTTAATAGTTTTAATTTACAATAAATATTTTATATATATTTTTTTGTATTTCTGTTGAAGGGGACGACGAGCAAGATCCTATTATTAATTTTATTATTATTAATACTATTAACTTTACCTGTCCTGGTGAAACTGGAAAGGCATCTGGGCCACCAGTAACACCTCAAAAATAAAAAATATAAAATATATATTTTATTATTAATTTGTCTTAGTTTTAATATAAACTCAATCAAAACAAACTGTTCGAATGATAATATTTAAATTTGTAATTTTTCTTTATAATTTCATGTAATATTTCATGAATATTTTTTTTCATAGAGCTGTGATTGATGGATTGCAATGAGTTAAAAAGGCTCTTAGCGCTAATAGTGTTCATCAAAAACATGAACAACGACAGATAGCTACTTATATTCAGGAGGGCCAAAGGCTTTCAATGGCAATTTAAATCATCATCATCATTCTCCTGCCCTTCTCCCAGTCACCTAGATCGGCGCAACATGTTTTCTCCTTCCACACTCCTATACCATATACCGTTTCTTCGCTCACTCCCCTATTACCTATATCGTCTTTCACACAATCCATCTATTTTTTCTTAAGTCTACCTCTTCCTCTAAAGCCTTCCGATCGCAATTTAAATCATGACCACTAATGATTAATTATTGTACCTTTGATTTTACCTACTTAGATCGAATTTAATCTACTATGTATATTGAAGCGTATTTTATACTTTAATACAAAATTTTCGATAATACTAAAAACTCAATATAAATATGAACCCATTCATTTGACTGACACGGTGGTGCAGCAGTCAGCGCCCCTGACTGCAGCGCCGAGGGTCGTGGGTTCGATTCCCACATCGGTAAACATTCATGTGATGAACAGGTTTGTTTTGTCTCCGTCAGCGTGTTTATTATCTATATATTTATATATTTAAAAGTATATAAGTATGTGTTGAGTCTCTATTTCGGGCAAGGATTAATAAGACACGTGTTCAGTTAAGTGACTAACGTATATTGGGATTACAACCTAACGTGCTATCATTACAATATAATTACCGCTAACACATACACATATATAATTATTAGTTCCTATGGGGACATTTGTGGTCCCTACATATGTATGTCAGTCTCTATTACCCATAACACAAGGAACCCTAATTTGGGGCAGAATGACCGCGCGCGAGTTGTTCCCAGTTATTTATTTATATAAAATATATTTATTATTCGATTGTATTGTAAGGTTCATCGACCCCTTACTTCGTAGTTACGATTTTTCAAAACCACAACGGTTGACCTCTTTGTAGCATCGAATCTGACGCGTAAAAGCACCACCGAAGCGACATCATTGCAAAAGGAACAAAAAATTACACAACCGAGCAAAAGAAACCGTTCGGAAACTAGTTGCAAAAGATTTATAATAAAGAACATTTACGGGTAATTTCACACTAAATAAAATTGACTGCGAGCTCCAAGTGACACTGACCCACTGAGAGATAATTTCTGACTACACAAATCAAAATCATAACTGTTTTGATTTATCGTCAATTTTATGTCATTAGCAAAATATGTATATTTTTATTTAAATACTAATAATACATTAATTAATTTACTGGTGGTAGGACGTCTTGTGAGTTCGCACGGTATCACCACCCTGCCTGTTTTTGCCGTAAAGCAGTAATGTGTTTCGGTTTGAAAGGTGGGGCCTTTGTACTATTTGTTACAACTCTTGTCTTAAGATGAGTGGCAGAATTTACGTTGTAGATGTCTATGGGCTCCGGTAACCACTTAACACCAGGTGGGTCGCGAGCTCGTCCATCCAATCTAAGCAATAAAATAAAAAAACAGGGTCCGCAGAAACTCTCCCAATAAGGAATACATCATAGAAAAATATCTTCGTGAGCTCTGCTATACAAGTACAAAACTGCTATCGATTTTTTAAATGTTTTTACAATGCACGCATTTATTTCACATACTTATTTCAATCGCTCACAATTAGCTGACACGCGGGATTTATGGTCTGCAGCGTACGTCCGCAGTAGCAAAAACCTTCGCTTTAGATCTATTGAAATAAGAACTTAACAAAAATACCAAGTAACTATGCATATCTAGCTAAGTAAAGTAACTATGCATATCTAGCTAAGTAAAGGAATATTATTTAGAATGTTATTTCGGCTTCGAAATCAGATCCTTTACTTACTATATCGATATAAACTTAAACTTAAAAATTACATTCTAGGGCTGAAAAGCTATTTTGTTTAAGCAACATTTTTGCACCTTTACAGGAAAACCATTTAAAATTGAAAGTATAGAAAGAAACATTTCTTAACAATTTTTTTTCCAATTATTTCAATAGAGTAAGCTGTTAATGCTACGAGTAATACCAAATAAAACGCAGCTTTACTTACAAAGTTAAATGTTACATAGTAAGCGAAATGTCGCTTATAGCCTTTCCTAGATATGTAGAACATTCAAGAATGATTTCCACGGGGACGGAAAAATGATGTTGCCTTCAAATTCAAAAAAAAGTTTTTAAAGTGCAGGATTACTGTTGGTAGAGCTTATTGTGAGCTTATATTTCTAGCGCAAATAATTACTTCAAGTTAGCAAAATGGGATACCGTTACAATAATCTTTTGCCTATCGGTTTCATTAAAAAAGTCACGTTCATTTTACAATTGCGTTTAAATAACGAAGATCCCATCGTTTGAATGTCACGATTTTTTGTAGCAGAATAAGGCCATTCTTATCGAAGGTGGCTTATTGCTAATATTTATAAGCTTAGTATTTTTTCAAATAAACAATAAAAAAAGTCGTGTATTGTTTTACGCGTGTTAGAAGTTCGATTTAACGCTTTCTTTTTCAAATACTAACATCCTCGTTTCCCGTACGAAGTATTGAGTAAACTGTATATAAATCTACAATGTAAATCATTTGTATTCACATAGCCAACCAATAGAGCACAATAAAAAAAAAATTGATTTATTATTAGCACACCGAACGAGGTAAAACTTCAAAACACTTTCATATCAAGGCCTCCGAACAATTCGCAGTTTCAATATTGTTTAAAAAGTCTAAGAACACCTCTGAGCCAGTGAACAGCAAAGCACGACATTCGACAACACAATGCACAAATTTTACAAAAGAATGGCCAATGTTACGTTGTATCTAATAACTTCTTATAGCCTTTTGTTGTACCGAGCAATTGTCTCCAGAAGTCTAGCTTTGCATTGAATTAGTTGAATAAAAATACGACCGATCACCAGAAATTCCGGCTGGGGATACGGTCTCTTCTAGATCTGATATTACGTTAGTGTATTGATTAAAATAAATAATAAAGACTTTGTTTCTGATATTGTCGGTTTATTTATCAGTAGACACGAGAATGCGTCTGTTGCAGCATTTTTTGGGCTTGTGGCATTATTTCCTAACATCCGTTCACAGTAGCAAATAAACTTCTCCTATCCAACGCTGTCCGTCATTCTTACTAGAAATACTTATTTTATCGCGTACCATGAGCCAGTGAGGTTTGGCGTCAAAATGTCTTTTGCTGTGCGAATCAATCATTGGATAGGACATCTTATACCTGCACAGCATTAAGTTTATTGTGTGTGACTAAATTTTAATTTTTTCAATACATAATTTCTGTATAGAATTTAATCCAATATAATTTAGACTTCGCGAATATATTAAGTCAAACTAGACCACTGCATTCACGTAGGTACATATTTATTTTCGCAATACGCAATACTTTGTTACCTGTGTCGATAAATACATAAAACATTTTGCGTGATTTAGTAACAAACATCCGAATATTCATATTTAGAATATTAGTATAAATATTATAAATAAATGTAAAAATATTACATTACACTCAATAAGTTTCGAGTGGAAAACAGAGCTTAAAAGAAAACAGACATAGAGTAAATTGTAACTAAGTTGTAAAGACTTCTTTGTAAAATAGCTAGACTTTTGCTGTATGTAGCTAACTAACGTTTTTACTAGACCCAGAACCTTAAGTTAAGCAGCTAGCTATTTATTTGAACGCAGACTTACTCCATTGTACTCAAATACGGAACTCCACACTTCCGAGGTACTTTCTTGTGTAACGTGAGATCCGAATAACCTTTTGTTTGATTTGCTTATGTCTTCACTGATTACCATTTGTAGATGTCGTAATTATAAAGTAGGCTAAAATTTTCTGTGCGAATTACATCGATTATGATCGCTCGGTCTTGGTAATATTCTTTTTATTTTCTTCTATTTATGTTGCATTAATTTTTAAATATCTGTAAAGTCCAGTGTATTAGCGACCTCCTTTTTAATAACAAAAAGACTCCTTTTTTTTTCGTAAAATTAATTTCCCGCCACATTGGTACATCGTGTTTAAGTCACAATTTTTTTTTATTGCTATTGTAGTCTCACGAGTATACAACAAACTGATGCTAACCGAATGAGCCAACCGGTAAGTGGTTACCGTCGCTTATGGATGTTACGAACCATATAATATAACAAACATTATCAGCAAAATTACAATCATGAAAAGAACACTTATTTGGTTTTTTTTATTGCTTAGATGGGTGTACGAGCTCGCAGCCCACCTGGTATTAAGTGGTTACTGGAGCCCATAGACATCTACGACGTAAATGCGCCACCCACCTTGAGATATCAGTTCTAAAGTCTCAAGTATAGTTACAACGGCTGCCCCGTCCTTCAAAAATGCTAATTTTTAGTACCCTAACACTTATTGAATCTA